CATCTTTGATTGTTTCTTCTTTATCTTCTGTCGGAGCATGTGCAGATATAATTGAGATATTGTACAATTTCCCTTTCAGTCTAATATAACACAGTCTCTCACTGATAAGCGTTAAACTTATAACACTGTTTAAGTATTCTTCTCGGACCACGAAACCTGTGCCGAATTCATGTTTTCCTGTCTGGTTTCCACTGTAGAAAATGACCGCCTTGTCTATTCTTATGTTTCCATTGTCCGGCCCCCTTATTGCTTGTATTGCCGTAATGTCCATTCCTACTTTTTCTAACTGTTTTACTGCGTGTATGGCTGCTCCTGTCCGGTACCAGCTTAAAACGTTCCACGTTCCAACATTCAAAGGCATCAACAAAGCTATTGACATGTAACATTGTTACGTGTCCTTGTATCCTTAGAAAGAACATGCGACACATATTTCCCATTAGTGTTGAATGGTGGGATAAACAAATCCCATAAGTAAAGTAACACATTTATATTCAAAATAAAAAAAAGTACATGACACAAAAAAACATTATTTCTCATCAATGATGGGGTAAAAAACAATTTTTGCAGAGAGGCACATTGCACGCTGTAAAAATAGTCGTAGTTCGAGTTTCTGATTTATTTTGTGAATATCAAAAGCACCTCTCCTAGTATAGGTATTTGTTGTTGCAAATGGTCTTCAACGTTGATTATATGTTTCTGTTGCTTAGATATTTTTCCAGAACGACCACTTAGTAGTCTTTTTGCATTTGATTTATATCTTCCTAATTCAATTAGCTGTTCTTCTAGTGGCACCAGAAAATTCGAAAGGGAAAATTTTGCGTTCCCTTGTTGTACACTTCTTTTGTGCAAATCCTTGTAAATAATCCAAGAATTTACAATAGCGTATATAACTAATCTATAAAAAGCTTTCCTTTACCATTTCGCACATTTTCGGTCCATATCATATGTGCTAACGTTTTGATCGGCGAGATCTACTCCTCCTATAAAATTATTGTAAAAAATAATTGCTTCTAAACAAGTGAACCCAGCTTTTTCTCCAGTTTTCAGCTTTCTGTTAATAATTCCAACACCTGTATTGTGATAATTAGACATCAGCATTACTTCCTTTGTATCTTTTCATTTAGCCGCTAAAATTCCTTCAGATGAAACTAAAAACTCCATATCACCCCTTAATATTTTATTATTTTCAAATTTGGCTACGATGACCCGATTGTCATGGAAAATTTAGGGTGTGTAGTAGGTTGAACGAAATGAAAAATCTATTAAAGACGAGACACATCTGGTGACCGTATGGTGTTGACTATACAACTCGTTCTCCTAGAGGTCCAGTAGTTGGTGAGAATTATTTTCCCGGGTAAATATTGAAATCGTATATATATATATATATATATATATATATATATATATATATATATATATCCTGTGAAAAATTACTTCGTTGCCACATTTTATACCTGTTTTTACTGGCTTCATAGGAAGATACTGCTTCAGAGCAGATTTTACTTTGAACTTAGTCTCTGATTCGTCGAAGGACTGATAGCAACTTTCAGTCTTCGCCTTTACAAAAGTTTGTTTCAAACAAGGCACCACTTCATCGATGTAGTATGTTTCTGATGTATTATCATTTCTTTCAGGATAATTATAGTGGGACTTAGATAGCAGCAATAAACAAGGATCTTTTTTAAGGGAAATTCGAAAGTGATTAGTTTTGTAACCAGTAGGGTGAGAAAGATGGTACTTTATTGTAACACATAACCATAGTACAACCAATCACTGTCAATATTTCCTACAAATCTGTTTTTTTTTTTTCGTGTTTAATTTTATATTTTGTTTTTTGAAGTGCTACTATTCTTTGATTTGTACAGGACGTTGTTAACAGTTGCGGAAATAATTTTAGAAAAATATTAACAGGGCGAGAACCTTTATTAAGATTGAGTATTGTTATTCCATTTCTCTGGGTACTAATTTCTTTTTTTGGAAAAAATTTCTATTCGGTATATTCCATTGTACAGTCAATTCATGACTTTCTGACTCATCTTCAGATATTTCCGCGTTATTAGAACTGTCTTCGTCGGAAGCAGTGATAATTACCCACCCGGTTAGCAGTATTCTCAGGTACTTCATCAGAATCTGAGACAGAATTGTCACTAGGTACATAAGCAGACTCTGAGGCAACATAAGGTTCTTCGTCGGATTTATGTTCACAAATATATAGGAGGTCGTCAATTTCTTCTTGAAGCTGTTTTTGTGCTAGAAAACGTCTACTTTCCATAGTAAGTTTACAACCAAACAATACGAATGGGATAAATAAGACCCGGTATAACCTACTACTGGGACACTAGAGTCCCGTTTAGAAATTATGGTAAAATCGATGAAAACAATATGAAAAATAAACAACATATATCACTAACCTGTGTTAATCAGCAACTAAAATTATATATTTAGACTTTAACACTCACGCAAAAATCTGCGAATAAACTGAGCCTTCGAGACCACATAACAAACCAACAAATGAGGCAAAGATCAGGAGTTCAAGACGTCATCGAAAGAACCATGACGCTTAAGTGGAACTGGGCAGTGCACTTAGCCAGAAAACAAGATGGACGGTGGACAAGAGGTATTATGGAATGGAGGCCCAGAAACTATAAAAGAAGCCGAGGACGACCACCGACTAGATGGACCGATGATATAAAACGTGTAGCGGGAAACTGGCTACAAGCGGCCCAGTGTAGAGAACACTTTAAAGAACTGAATGAGGCCTATGTCCAGCAGTGGAAGCGATTTACTGATTGATGAAAATATATATAATCGGATAAAAAACAGAGCAGTGATATGAAGGTTGCATTCTGCTAGCTAATGAGTAAGGAATGTCTAAAAATACGGATGCGTTCAAATAACATGGGCATTGGGGACAAACAGATGCCAGCAGATTTTTTTTAATCCGCTGGGACATACATGTCTTCACAGTAATAAAAGGGTTAATGTATAATTTCCTTATCCCATTAGAGTGATATCTAGCTGGTCCGTTTTAACTGATCGACCAGAATTCTCAGCTTCATCATCCAATTTCAAAAGTTACTCCTTTCATCCAGTTTTTATCTTGTCTCCTTAAATCGTCAGCTCATCGTGTAGGTGGTGGTCTCCATTTCAATAAACTCTTGCTTCGTCGCCCATCCGTCATTCTAGCTATGAGTCCTGCCCATCTCCATTTTAGTCTGGATTAGGTGCTGAGAAACAATTTATTAGAGCGTTGAACTTATAACTTAAATAAAGTTTTCCTGATGGTTCCATTTTTATCTAAAGCAACAGTTACAGGTTAGGATCCTTAACGGCTATCAAATTAAAGCTATGGAAATTAGAGAAGTATAATTGGAGCCAAAAAACCTTGGTCAGGATTTGGCTTAGTCATTATAATTCTGGTTTTACAACCCTGCGTGGGTCCTAGCCTCCCCAAGAATGTCTCTCCAGTCGTCCCTATCACGCCAAGAACGTATTCCCATGTTTCTCATGTCTTTATTGATATTATTAAGGAACTTTGTTCTGGATCTTCCTCTTCTAATCTGACCAATGGGTCTATCAGGGAGCGTTTTTCTTGCTGGGTCATTTTGTTCCATCCGCATTAAATGTCCTATCCATCTCAGGCGTCCTATCTTAATACGTTTTACGATAACTGGTTCCTGCTATATTCTAATTAACTCTTCGAAATTGTATTGTCTTCTTCACACTCTATTGTCATTCACTGCTCCATAGATCCGCCTTAGTACTTTTTTTTTCCAGGTCTTTGAATTATATGTTAGGACTGGGAGTATTATTGTTTTGTAAAGTTTAATTTTGTATATATTATATATATATATATATATATATTATATATATATATATATATATATATATATATATATATAAGACGTTATAAGTATAACTAACCAATTACTGGCAAAGTTTATTGAACGTGACATTAATCTATCATGCATATTCATATCTTGAATATCACTTTCAGTTTTTGCTCAAAGTATTTCTTAAGGTAAAATGTAGAAATCTAATTATAGATTAAATACAATCTAAACCCTATTTTTGTATTATTTGTTTTAATAATTATATCTGTAAACTGGCTCGTAGGCATTTAGATTGTGAAAAACTGGTGGTAATTGCAAGTATTGATTTTTGTTTTGAATAAATTATAACTTATCCTTCAAACGGCCCTGGTTTTACGCCATTATGCATTTCCGAAAGAAAGTAACAATTATTATCTTACGTATTTCCAAAGTATTGTCAATAAAAATTATTATACCCAATTATACTGTTTGTCCTACAAAAATAACTCCTAAATAATATAAATGAAAAACGTGTTTATTAAATCAAACAGAAATTCACTTAGAAAAATTGTTAGACTTTCTACTGTTTGTAATTTCTTCTCATATCATAGGTTGATTATGAACTAGCTATATTTGCAGCTCCTCAGAAAAGGTCTACTTACAACATTACAAACCAAATTTCAAGACTTCATATTCCAAAATATGTGTATCCGTATTTTTGTTATAACGGAAATGCCTTTAAGTACAATTAAAAAAAAATTAGGTCATCACAAAATATGGTTATAATAAAAAAAATTAAGTTAATACAATGTATAGCATCCACCCTGGTTTTACATCTGTCGTTCGTAGACAAAATGAGATTGTAGATATCCTATTAAACTACGTTTGCCCAATCTTTTATCAGACGCTTTCGGAAATGAAATGGCATGTCATGAATGTGTTGCTTGTGTGAGTCCATTTCAAATAGGTAAAAGAAATAATACATAAGACTTACTCGCAATCAATTTAATTTAACTATCCAGACGACCGGTTTCGCTTTCTACAATATTCAAAGCATCTTCAGGTCTCGATACAAAGTTAATTAAATGCTGTAATAATAAAACCCATATTAGGGTGTTTAGATTTTATGAAGGTGACATCTCAATATATAACACACATTTCATATATAATGTCTGTAGAACCCTGTAGATGGTTCCAGTAGACAATATTTTATGTGATTGCTCAATAACAAAAATATTGAAAAGAAGAAACAATGGTACTGTCATGTTCAAAGAATACCATGCCATAGGTGGCCAAAACAAAGTAATGGGTAAGAATCTCCAGGACAAAGACGAAGATAAAGACCAGTTATGAGATGGAAAACATATTTGGGAAATACGATGATGGAGAGAGATATCGGAAAAGTGACTGCGAGGATAGAAAGGTATATATAATATATAACAAGCGAGTCTTCTACAGCTGGAGCTGCTTCTCGCATCCTAATTTCCAGCGTTTTCTGTCGAAGCAATCTTCAGTTGTTAGATCTGTGACGGTCATTGTATCGTCCACATCGTCTCTCCAGGATCGTCTTGGTCTACCTCGTTTTCTTCTAGTTGGCGGAGTCCATTCTTCTATTTTTTTTGGCCATCTATTTTCGGCATTCTCTGAAGGTGTCCATACCAGTTAAGTCTTTTGGCTTCGATTGTTTCTATTATGTCTAGATCGATTTCCATTTCTCTCCGAATATCTTCGTTTCTCACCCTATCAAGTCTAGTGAGCTGGCAACATCGTCTCCAGTAGTTTATTTCCATGGCCTTAATTTTTGATTGGTTTCTTTGGTTTATTTCCCACAGTTCGGCGCCGTACAGTCCAATACTTTCTATTATTGTTTTATAAATTCTTCTTTTATTTTATTTTGTTATCTTTTTATTCCATAATAGTCCATGTAGCTGTCTGGTGGCTGATCTTGCTTGGCCAATCCTGGAATTTATTTTTTCGCTACTTCCTGCTTTTGATGTTATTTGGACTCCCAAGTATTTAAAATTGTCTGTTGGTTTTATAGTTCCCATTTCGATTTGTAGGCTTTCTGGTTTTTCTCCTACAACTAAGTACTCAGTTTTTTGTATATTAATTGTGAGGCTCCATTTGGTGTACTCATCTTCCAGTTTTCTAAGCATGTAGCCTACATCAATCTCGTCTTTAGCTAGAATGGCTTGGTCGTCAGCGAAGGGTATCGTGTACAATCTATCATCTCCGATTGGGATGCCTATATTGCAGCACTTTCTTCTCCACAGTGAGAGTGCCTCATTTAGATATATTTTGAAGAGTGTAGGTGCTATGCATCAGCCTTGCTTTAGGCCCTTACTAATAGGAATTTCTATAGTAAATCTATTTCCAATTTTATTGTTTGCCGTCATATTTTTGTAGAGCTGTTGTACTGCTTGTATCTTTTTGCCTATTCCTTATTTTTCCACTGCTACCCAAAGCATTGAAAGTGGTACACTATCGTATGCCTTTGTCAGATCTAAAGATTATATGAGTTGAAAGGTTGTGGGCTAATATTTTCTCGATAACTTGCTTTAGAGAGAATGTACTGTCCATACAGGATCTGCCTGCACGAAAGCTATTCTGTTCTACATCTGCCATCTCTCTTTTAATTTTATTTTTTATTATTTTTCCATGCAGCCTTGAGAGTGAATTTATGACATTTAGCCCCCTATAGTTTGAACAATTCTTTCTATCTCCTGTTTTGTAGATGTTGTTAATATGTGCTTTTGTCCACTCCGGTGGTGTCCATTATATAATAAAGTGAAGACAGACGCCAGTATTTCCAGTAATACTTGTGGGCTATGTTTTAATAATTCATTTGGTATACCTTGTGGTCAGCATGACTTCCAATTTTTTAGAGTTCGTATTGCATTCTCAACTTCTGTACTAATAGGTATTATTATGGATAGAAAGGTATAGTGTATAAACGACGAACACCTAATGGAAAAATGCCAAAACAGAAGAAAAAGAAAGAAAAAATCCAACTATAACAAGTAAGATATCTTTATCGTGTATAAGAAATTTACTCCTTAATTTAAAAGAATGTAAATACATTTCGCACAAGCCATTTTATTTTTTAAGTTCTAAAGTTCGTCATTATTAAGTATTATTTTATTTGTACATTTAGCCATTCAACAATCCTTAAACGTAGAGAAATACCTTAATACTGTAATATGAATAGTTATAAAATATTACGAAGGTATTTAGTATTATTCAATTGCAAGGAAATAGCTTCTATTATGAATGAAAACGCAGACTAACTATAGACAAGCAAAGTACATTGACACATTTCCCCAAGCAGGATTCATTAACCTGTATTTCAAAATACTAAACATAGAAAAAATATTCAAGGCTAAGGTGTCACCACTCCCATACAAATATTATGTTCTTCGTCATGTTTAGAAATTCAAACAATTGTACGATATATAAAAATGTTCTACCGCATTTGAAAGTGTACAGTTATTCCCCTTTTTTGGCGCAGGGGACGAACAGGTATGTCGATTTCTTACACAATACCAAGTATTTTCCATTACAATCTATTTATTAAAAATCAAACCTTAAATAACTTTATAATCATCATTTATCATCCTAATCATAATGTAATAATACATATGTCACTGTAGTAATATTGTTTCTTTCATTAAAATATTTAAATTAAAATAAATCTTTATACCGATTTTATAACTAATAATTTTTTTTATTTCAGGTCACCATGGGTATATACTCCGTTCTAATCTTGACATCATGTTTGGTTATCGGAAGTTACGCTATCAGCTCATGCTGTAAAAACCTTATCCCAGACTTAAGCTACAAACTAACTGGTACCGAAGTAGCCTTCCCGTGTGACAGTACGAAAAACATTTACAAAACTACAGGCCGTTATGTAGCCAAAAACATCATCGCAACCAGAATGCAGATCTACAGAGATGACGCTTATGTAGCTCTGCCAAGATACAGGCATGGAGTGCCGTTCACTCTAGCTAAGTTCTCCTTGAAAACTAGAGGCTGCAAAGCTGTCTTAGTGCCATATCCGTGCTGGCCACTGCAAGAAGAAGGCAACTGTGAAGCTTTACAAAATGTTGTTGATTTGTTTATTGACGGAGCTGATCATCTCTGGGTATTAGACATTGGTTTGGTAAATACATTGGAACAACCTGTACGTCGTTGTGCACCTAAAATAGTCGGAATAAACTTGAAGACTAACCAAGTAGTGAAAGTAATTAGTCTGGAACCTTTCGTTACGCCTGAAAGTCGCCTACAATATATCATCGTCGACTTCTCAAAAGATGGCATTCCCTTCGCTTATGTAGCTGATGGTGGTTCCGGAGCAATCATCGTCGTGGACTTAAAGAGTGGTAGTGGATTCCGTATTGTTCTACCAGTTGCCGTATCAACTGGTGCAGTTAACTGCGTAAAGGATGTCCTCTACATTGCCTTAGCAAGAAAGCCCTGCGGAAACATTCTTTACTTCACCTACCTCTCATCACCAAGACTATTTTCAATCAAAGCTGAATTCTTACAAAAAGGCCAAGCCATGGGAGCCGTCATTGACGTTGGACACAAACCTCCATTTGGAAAAATCGTTCTTTTGGGTACAGATAACGGTGCCGCTATTTTCTTTAGATACAAGGGTGAATCTGATATCTTCATCTGGAACAGTGAAACTGTCTTCAAACCCGAAAACTTTCTCTTGGTCCAAAAAGGAGACGACTGTAGACTGGCTACTGAAGTCGTTGCTGGATACAAAAAACTCATGTGGGCTATTGAAAGTAACTTCCACGATTACATTCTTGATATCGCTGGAAGTCTTGGCCCCTCAATGGCTGTACATCCTCTTATCAAAACTTGTGATTAGGATTGCTGTTTGTTAATTATTGTAGATGTATAAAATAAATACGTAAGCAACTTCTACCTGTGATCTTGTGTAATATTTGCACAATTTAGTTTAATAAATTAGGTTTATTAATTATTTACATCTGTTTTTTATTTATTTATGTTTCTTTCATTTTTAGAGTGTTGTAAATTTCGTTAAAATTTTATATACACTGTGTTCATTTGACAAGGACCACTTATAGTCTGCTTTAAGAAAGTAAACTTTTAGAAAGTAACAAACTCACCCCGTCAAGACCACCATGGTTGAACTATTCATTGTTCATTAACAATTTACTTTACTTATAAGCAAACATTACATTCAGAAAGTTTAACTGCTTTAGAAGATTTCGTTTTGAAAAAATCCGAGTTTGAAATGAAGACACTATTTTCGCCATTTCTCAAAAAATATCATTTTTTTCAAAATAACTCAACAACTAAAAAATATGCGAAAAAAATACTCGAATGCAACAAACAGCTTTTTTACTGAAGATTTTAATTTTTCTCTTATTTCTATAAATTGAAAATTGAATGAGATTGATTGTTTAAAGGTTGTATTCTTGTAGAAAAGTCTTAAAGATGGTGCTGAAGGCATGTGAATCTTCTTCTTCTTCAGATGCAAATCCACTAATGGATGTTAGCGATCACATTTTTCATTAACTCTCTATTTCTTGCAATATGTATCAGAGATTGTATGTCGTTAATCCCTGTCCATTGCCTTATGTTTCGGAGCCAGGACATTTTCTTGCGTCCCATTCCTCTCTTGCCTTTAATTTTACCCTCGATTATAAGTTGGAGGAACTGGTATTTTTCATTTCGCATGATGTGACCTAGATACGCCGTTAAAGCCACATTTCGAAAGCTTCCAATCTGTTTATATCCCTCGTTTTGAGTGTCCAGCCCTCTACGCCATATAGCAGCACTGACCATACGTAGCACTTAGTAAACCTTAGTCTCAGTTGAAGATCGAACTCAGAACAAGTCAGTACCTTCTTGAATTTTACGAAAGCTTGTCGAGCTTGCTCAATGCGACATTTTACTTCCCTGTCCGATGCCCAGTCTTCAAAAAGCCACGATCCCAGGTATTTAAATTTACTCACTCTTTCTATGGATTTACTATTCAGTGTTATAGTGGAGTTGGCATGTTGGCATGTGAATACAACATTTAAACTATCATGTTTCGTTAAATTTTTAGTCTACAAAAATAAACAAAAAATCAAAATATTCAGTAAAAAACAGCTTTTTTGTAGCGACTTATTTTGTAGTCAAGTTTTGATGCCAGTAGCCCTAAAAAGTGTCACTCTCAAGTTAAAACTTGACGTGTTTCGGCATTTCTTTCTATAGTTTATTTTTATGAACGAGAGAGTAATTAGCATAATTTTAACTGGTACCTTCGACCACTCCATGGACGTGCTCAAGATTAATTGAAAAATTACTTTGAATAATTGTAAAAAATAAATGAATTATTTCAGTGTTATAAAGTGTTATGTGTATGTAAACAAAAGTGACCTCTTTTATCACACACTATATTAGAACTGACTGGCCTACATTAAAAAGGATTTTAAAAAATTCACATTTTTTTTAACTTTTAAAAATTACAAAAGAGAAAAAGAGTTTTTAAAACCGTCTAAGGTATGTTAAATAGATGAATAAAAATATTAATATAAAACTTACAGCTACTTGTTACAGATCCAAATCAGATTCAGAAGATGAACTTTCAGAACCAAGATTTATAATAACTGGCTCGATCATTTTATCAGTAATATTGTCCAGCTTCCACATTTTTTCCTCTTCTTTAATAGTGTGATTTACTGCCTTTACCCAGTTTTCAGGTTTTACATTATTTACGGCCTCCAAAAACAACTGTTTCATCATGAATTTTAAAAGTGGTATTTTTTCTTGAAACTTCACTCTTTATCTGTGCCCATACCAGTTCAATCGGGTTTAATTCACAATGATATGGTGGGGATCTAAGTATTGTCATTCCACGATTTTTGGCAATTTCATCAATTTCGTATTTTTTAAATTTTTCTTTATGAAGGGCACACAACGAATAAAGTTCCTTTCTTATAGATCCGGGATGGTACGTAATATTTTTTGAACTCAACCAATTCTGCAAGTCTTTTTTTAACCACTTGGTTGTGGGCAGTCCTTCTATAGGTCTGGAGTGATAACTTACATTATCCATTACTATTACACAGTTCTTAGGAAGAAGATCTATCATTTGTTCGAACCATTCTTGAAAGACATCAGCGTTCATGTCTTCATGGTAGTCACCGGTACGAGTTGATTCAAAAGTTAATAAACCACCTTCAACAAAACCGTCTGAACTGCCAATGTGTACTATTATCAGCCTGCGTCCCTTTCCTGATGGTGAGTTTAAACCAGTAGATAAGTTATTTACAAAAGCGTGCCTTTGACTTGTAACAGTTTCATCCTGCCAAAATTTATTTCGTGTATGACCCTCGTTGATCCATGTTTCATCAAGATAAAATATTTTTCTTTTTTGGTTTCTCATGTCCTTTATGGTTCTTAGAAAATGTCTTCCCCATATGACAATATCGCTTCTTTCTAATAAAATAGACTTTCTGGGATTCTTTTTCCAGCGGAAGCCTATTTCTTTTAAAAGTTTCCATAACGTACTTCGCCTCATTTCTGGGTAATGAGTCGCACGAAAGTGCATGAATTCTTCTTTAGACAAGAATTTCCAACATTGGAACAAGTTCTTGTCTCAGTTCGAGATGATAAGGATTACCCAGAAAGGAGTCGAAGTACGTTATGGAAACTTTTAAAAGAAATAGGCTTCCGCTGGAAAAAGAATCCCAGAAAGTCTATTTTATTAGAAAGAAGCGATATTGTCATATGGAGAAGACATTTTCTAAGAACCATAAAGGAAATGAGAAACCAAAAAAGAAAAATATTTTATCTTGATGAAACATGGATCAACTAGGGTCATACACCAAATAAATTTTGGCAGGATGAAACTGTTACAAGTCAAAGGCACGCTTTTGTAAATAACTTATCTACTGGTTTAAACCCACCATCAGATAAGGGACGCAGGCTGATAATAGTACACATTGGCAGTTCAGACGGTTTTGTTGAAGGTGGTTTATTAACTTTTGAATCAACTCGTACCGGTGACTACCATAAAGACATGAACGCTGATGTCTTTCAAGAATGGTTCGAACAAATAATAGATCTTCTTCCTAAGAACTGTGTAATAGTAATGGATAATGCAAGTTATCACTCCAGACTTATAGAAGCACTGCCCACAACCAAGTGGTTAAAAAAAGACTTGCAGAATTGGCTGAGTTCAAAAAATATTACGTACCATCCCGGATCTATAAGAAACGAACTTTATTCGTTGTGTGCCCTTCATAAAGAAAAATTTTAAAAATACGAAATTGATGAAATTGCCAAAAATCGTAGAATGACAGTACTTAGATCCCCACAATGTCATTGTGAATTAAACCCGATTGAACTGGTATGGGCACAGATAAAGAGTGAAGTTTCAAGAAAAAATACCACTTTTAAAATTCATGATGTTAAACAGTTGTTTTTGGAGGCCGTAAATAATGTAAAACCTGAAAACTGGAAAAGGCAGTAAATCACACTAGTAAAGAAGAGGAAAAAATGTGGAAGCTGGACAATATTACTGATAAAATGATCGAGCCAGTTATTATAAATCTTGGTTCTGAAAGTTCATCATTGAATCTGATTTGGATTTGTAACAAGTAGCTGTAAGTTTTATATAAATATTTTTATTCATCTATTTAACATACCTTAGACGGTTTTAAAAACTCTTTTTCTCTTTTGTAATTTTTAAAAATTAAAAAAAATGTAATTTTTTTAAAACCCTTTTTAATGTAGGCCAGTCAGTTCTAATATAGTGTGTGATAAAAGAGGTCACTTTTGTTTACATACACATAACACTTTATAACACTGAAATAATTCATTTATTTTTTACAATTATTCAAAGTAATTTTTCAATTAATCTTGAGCACGCCCATGGAGTGGTCGGAGGTACCAGTTGAAATTATGCTAATTACTCTCTCGTTTATAAAAATAAATTATAGGTTACTACACAATTGACACAACAAAAATTAGTAACATTAGACAAAGTTTAATACTAAATAATTTAGCCATGACATTTGGCAAAAAACTTATATGAATTGTTTTGAAATATTGGTGTGGTTACAATTAGGTATCGAAAAAGGGTATCATTAAATGTTTCTTTCGTCCTTGAATATACGCGTTAAGAATAGATTAGATCAGTGCTAAGATATGTCTGCATTAATTACCTTATTTGCATGTAAAATTTAGAGCGGTAATGATAATATTAAATTGGTCGTAATTAGGGTATTAGACATAACCAGGCGGTATCTGTTTTGGGTTGGGTAAATCCTAAATGAACATATTTTTTGATTTAATCGCTTCGAAATATTATTAGAAATGATAATTTCACTACGCGGACACTTCAAAAGGTGAGCTAAATTTTTTTTTTAAACAATTTGTGAAAAAAATTAGAAAAATGCAATTTTTTTCTCCTTTTTGATGCTATATCTCGGCAGCCAAGCATTTTAGAAAATTTTTGTGAAGACACAAAAGTTTTGCAAATAAATCGTCGGCTGTAGCAATAGTGGCCTAACTAATAGTGGTTAACATCGCAAGAGGGCTTAAAAAATCCTTATTTATGACCTGCAAAACTGGCACAATCATAATGGCAAAAATGTCCGCTAGAACGTCAAAAGTGTCGCTATGACATGTTGTCGCTTAAGATAAATTGTTTCTTGTCTTGCAGTACTGGCCCTTTTTAGTTGTGCAGTGGAAGTCGAACCCTGTCGATGTCAAGTTTCTATGCAATAACGGCACTTTTGAGTTGTGTCACTATAGCAAACAATTTTAGATATTTTCAAACTGTATCATTGAGAATTTAGGAGTTGTGTCACATTAAATAAAAGGAATAATTTTATTGTTTTAAAAATG